CCACATTTTTTTAAATAAATGTGGGGGGAGCGAAACCCTTGTATCGGGTATTTTTGTATACATATATATTGTGATCCCTTTTTTCAAGCCTTTCCAAGCGGGAAGGGATAAATAATTATAAATTGATAATGTAAACCTGATACAAGTGGAATAGGGACGTTTTTATGTTCTTAACCTTTCTCGAGCCCTGTCTTTGTGAACGGGGTTCCCTTAGCTTATAAGGCACTACCAAAAGCTTTCAATTGCTCTAGTGAATATTCATTCTTCCAAAAGACACCTATTTAGAACTAAGTTACTAAACAAACACAACGTAAATAAGGGTCCTAACTAAGACGATCACGCCAAAAATTACAAACGGCCTATTATTAAACCTTTACAAAGATCAAGACATTTTCTTTTGTCCTGGTCACATATAAATAATTTTGTTTAGAAAGGGGAAATTAATTATAAATAAATAATTAGTTATATATATACAAAGGGGGGGGGGGGGGAGCGTTACAATATGCAAAAGAAAGCATTGGTGATACCACGCAGCCTTGTGGAATGCCAGCATTAATAGTGTTACGCGCTAAAGTCGACGATACACTAGCGCCATCTAGTGTCAGGAACGAGAGCGAGGGGAGCTTTGCAGTGAATGACATCACAACCGACAGTGCCATCCGAAGAAACTAAGTTTCTAGAAAATCTATACTCGGACTCTCGGGACCGTGCGCGTGTTTGCTTGAACATTCTGGATATTTGCTAATTTAAATAAGTAGGCGCTGCAAGGTGCGAGGGAGGCAGTGTTGATTTGGGCGAAACAAGCGAAGCTTCGGAGTGGAATTAAGTGAATTAGTGTGTTTAAATTATTAGTGTTTTAACTTTAATTGTGTAAAGTAAATTAAAGTGTTAATTTAGGTAATTTTATCGGCAATTTTTATTGTCACGAACCTCAAGCTCGTAACAATTGGTGTCAGAAGTGGGATCAAATCATGCCGATTTTACCTAAGGAAGAAACGGAGGGTGTCCGTACCCGCAGTCAACGCCAGCATGAGACGGACCAGCGGAGATTTGGTGGTGCAACGGCGCAGATGTCGGAGGGCCAACTGCCAGCCACGGAGGCTGCGGGCCCGTCATTAGCTCCTACATCTGCAGCACCTGACTTAGGTGCTCTGATGGCGATGCTACAGGAGCAGCTGCAGCGCGGACGAGAGGAACAGGCCCGTCTGTTGAAAGAGCAGCAGGAGGAACAGGCTCGCCGACAGGAGGAACAGGCCCGCCGACAGGAGGAACAGGTCCGTCAGTTGAAAGAGCAGCTGCAGAGCGGACAAGAGGAACAGGCCCGTCAGCAGGCGGAACAGGCTCGTCGGTCGGAAGAGCAGATGCTCCTCATGAAGGACCTTCACGCTACCTTTGGGAAAGAGATAAGGGACGTGAAGGATAGGGTTGCTCAACACGACAACCGCCTGTCGGAAGCTGAAACCCGAATCGAAGAACATGAAACCCGAATCAACCATGTGAACAATCGGGTTGACAACGTGATGGCTGACGTGAAGAAAACGCTAAACGACCTCAAACTTGCGGATGGAACTACAGCTCCCGTAGTAGCTGCAGCACCTTCGCTACGTGGATTCAAAGTGCCGCCGTTCGACGGGACCTCTTCCTGGTCGGCCTACAAAATCCAGTTCGAGGCCGTCATGGAGGCGAACGGCTGGAATAAAAGCCAAGCCATGACTGCACTCACCCTAGGCCTGCGCGACCAAGCCTTAACTGTGTTGGAAGCTCTCGGTAAGAAAGTAACCTATGAGCAGCTTCTTGAGGCCTTGGAAGCGAGATATGGCGACGCTCATCTGGAACACGTCTTTCGCGCGCAGCTTAAAGATCGCGTGCAGCGCAGCAACGAGAACCTGCAGCAGTGGGCCCTTGAGGTGGAGAAGATGGTTCGAAAAGCATACCGGTCTGTACCTGCGCTCATTGAAGGGAACCTGGTTCAGACATTCATCGACGGCATCCGCGACCTTGAAGTCAGAGCTGTTGTGAGACTCGGGCACCACGACACGCTTAAGAACGCCTTGGCCCATGCACTGGAGGTGGAAGCCGTGCGGCAGGATCATCGTTCCCATCGCGTCAGGGAGGTTGCAGCAGCTACAGTCCGTGACCGCAGCAAAGGATACAGCCCTAGGTGCTATGGCTGTGGGGAAAAGGGCCATCTTCGATCCAGCTGCCCTAAACGAACCGTGGAAAGGAGAGTTGATCGATCTCGAGAGGGTAGTGCAGCTAACGGCACTGCCTGGCGGCGACAGGATCATGGCTGTGGGGAAAGGGGCCATCTTCGGTCCAGCTGCCCTAAGCACACCCTAGGAAGGGAAGGTGAACGGTCTCAGAAAGGAAGTGCGGCTAACAGCACCGCCCAGCAGCAGCAGGAATACGACTTTACTATCAGACACTGCAGCGGGAAATCTCACGGCAACGCAGATGCATTGTCAAGAAGACCTTGTCCTGAAGATTGCAACCATTGTAGTAGGCAAGAGAGTAAGGAGGTGGTATCCGTGAGGATGCTCAGGACGGACCACCTCAGCAACGAATGGAAGGACAACCTACGACATGCACAGCAGGAAGATCCGGACATCAAGCCGATTCTGGGATGGATGAAGGCCCGTGCTACCAAGCCTAAGTGGAGGGACGTCTCAGCGATGAGTTCAACCACGAAAAGCTATTGGGCCCAATGGGACAGCTTGCTGATTCAGGATGGAGTCCTGTGCCGTAAATGGGACAATGGTCGAAGAGACAGCTGTCGTTTGCAAATGGTTGTCCCTAAAGCTAAAGTGCCGAATGTTCTACAGTTGTGCCATAATGGTCGTTCAAGAGTCCATCTGGGAGTTAAACGAACTCTACTGAAGGTCCGAGAACAGTTTTACTGGGTCCATTATCGTGACGATGTCGAGGATTGGTGTCGTACATGTACAAGTTGTGCGGCCGTGCGGGGACCTCGGACACGTAGTAGAGGAGCACCGAAATTGTACAATGTTGGTGCACCACGGGATAGGACAGCCCTTGACATTGCGGAGCCGTTACAGAAAGGCGCAAGAGGGACTCCTAAGATCGTCCATGTGAATCGCTTGGCGCGTTATTATGGGGCCGATAATGCTCGGGACGAGCATGTCTTAGGAGGGGGCAGTGTTACGCGCTAAAGTCGACGATACACTAGCGCCATCTAGTGTCAGGAACGAGAGCGAGGGGAGCTTTGCAGTGAATGACATCACAACCGACAGCGCCATCCGAAGAAACTAAGTTTCTAGAAAATCTATATTCGGACTCTCGGGACCGTGCGCGTGTTTGCTTGAACATTCTGGATATTTGCTAATTTAAATAAGTAGGCGCTGCAAGGTGCGAGGGAGGCAGTGTTGATTTGGGCGAAACAAGCGAAGCTTCGGAGTGGAATTAAGTGAATTAGTGTGTTTAAATTATTAGTGTTTTAACTTTAATTGTGTAAAGTAAATTAAAGTGTTAATTTAGGTAATTTTATCGGCAATTTTTATTGTCACGAACCTCAAGCTCGTAACAATAGTCTTGTAATCGGAGCATGCACCGTCTACAGCCACCTTGATGCTCCGATCTGCAAGAAACCTGGTTATCCAATCGTGCAATTTCTCGGGAATCCCATAGAAAGGGAGCTTCGAAAAAAGCGCTTTGTGCCAAACCCACATTTCATTTTCATTCACATTGTCCAAACTAACAGCCAATTCCTCCTACTTAGACTCTACTGCCTCCGCCCATCTATGAGCCAGATAGACCAGAAGATCACCAGCTGATCGACCCGACGAAAACCGTATTGTTTGTCACTAATCAGCTGGTGATTCTCAAGGTACCGCGTGAGCTGGTAGTTTATAATGGATTCCATTATTTTGGAGAACAAGGAGGTGATGGCGATAGGCCTTTAGTTAGACGGATCTGAGCGATCGCCTTTTTAGGGATCGGGTGGACGAAAGCCGTCTTCCACGATTTTGGAACTACGCCTAGGGGGTAGGAGTACCGGAAAAAACGCATTAGAACGATGCCAACTCTGGAGAACATGTCCTCAGCTCAATTGGTCGGATTCTGCCAGGCCCGCTCGACTTGTGGATGCCCAAGGAGAGGAGTGCTTTGCGAACCGAGCGCTGTGTTAATCGCACATCCGGCTCATGGAGCACTCACACCGCGGGATGGTTGGCGGTGTGCTCGAGTTGGACGCAAAGAAAGAGTCTAGCAGATCGGCTTTCTCCTTTGCGTCATGGGCCAGTGAGTCGTTCTCCGTATGCAGAGATGGAAGAGATGACTGACAAAAATTCTCTTGGACAGCCTTGGCGAGAGATCAGAATGTACGGGTTTTAAAAGGAAGGCGAACTACTTTCTTGTCAATTCTGTCTATGTGCTCTGACTTTGCCTTGACAATGACTCCGACCGCCTGGAGGCGGAATTACACTTCTTTTTTAGGACACTGGTGTTTACATTCCGGGATGTTGAGGTATGAGCCCAGGTCCGGTAGCCCTCCCGTACCCTGCAGTACCACATCAACGACAAACAAACACACTGTAGGCCACGGCCCTCACAGTGTTTTTTTTTTTTGGTTTGCTTTAATGATGATAATTGATAACATTTTTTATGTAATATTCATAAACATCGAAAAAAATATTTCACAATCACTTTGATTAATTAAATTTTACATTCTTTAGTGCAGAAAATGTTCGATAAATGTTAAAATGTCATAAATGGTGATATAGTTATGTCATTACTTTGCTGCTATATGTAAAAGGGCCAAACTGATGATGAAAAGCTATGTATGAGTAACACAGTCTCTGATTTTATTAAGTGTAATCAATCACTAGTCTGCCTGCAGTGTGCCGATTACAGCAAGTGTGTTCAACAGTAGGGCATACTCATATTGAGAAATTCAGTAAAATTTTCAGGCCTATCAGTATTTATTTCAAGAGTAGTACAGTATTTGATTCACTTATAAATAAATGTCTTTTTTTGTTTTACAGGTAGTGCTGAAAATGTGTAAGGTGTACCTAGAGAACAAATCAAAATTAATTTTAATTTGTAATTAACTTTATATAATGTTTATAAAAATATAATCATTTAGCCCCTTTGCCAATAGCTTCATTTACACTGTTATATCCATTCTTTTTTAATAGTTCTGCTAGTTCTTTTTTAATTTTAGTAATAACAGGGGGACCAAAGTATATTAAGGCTGTATATATTTGCACTATACTGGCACCAGCCAAAATTTTATCATAAGCATCTTGACCACTGAAGACTCCACCAACACCAATTATAGGTATTTTTCCTAGAACATATTTACATTATTAATTTATTACAGTTAGTATATAAAAATGGAAACTAAAATATAAAGTACAGAAGAACTATTATTAATACTTTGGTATTATAATACTGTAGTGATAGTAAAAAATTCTAAAAACAAACCTTGAGTTAACTTATACATAGTTTTAATCATTTCTGTGGATTTTTTATTAAGTGGTTTTCCACTTAGTCCACCCACTTCACTTGAAAAATTTTGGTTCTTAAGTGATGGTCTATCAATAGTTGTATTAGAAATAATAAGCCCTTGGACTTCAGATTCCTTCTGAGTAATAACTGAAACAATATCCTTCATTTCTTCTAAGGATAGATCTGGAGCAAGTTTTAAAAGCAATGGAGGGTTGTTTTTTGACTGCTGAGATTTTCTGGTTTTGTTAACAGCTGACAGAAGATTTTTTAATTCATCTTTTTTCTGCATTGACCTTAGACCTGGAGTATTTGGGCTGAAATAATTTATTTTCTTACAACCTGTCCGAGAAGTTATAATATTATAAAATTATGATATAATTTAAAAAGTAGTTTTTCGTACCTACTAATGTTAATAACAAAGTAATCTGCAATATCAATAAATTTATTTATTCCCAAGACATAATCTTGAATAGCATCATCAGAAAGTTTATTTTTACCTAGATTGATACCTAAGAGGCCTTTTTTCAAAAGAGCTTTATCTAAATTTTTTATTTTCTTGTAAACTACGCTGTGTCCTTCACTATTAAAACCATATCTGTTAATGACTGCACTATCTTCAGGTAATCTGAATACTCTAGGTTTAGGGTTGCCAGGTTGTGGTTCAGGAGTAACTGAACCTATTTCTACTACCGAAAAACCCAAGTTTCTTAAACCTAAAATAGCATCACCATGTTTGTCAAATCCTGCAGCTATTCCTATTGGATTACTGAGTTCATATGTTAAAAACTTTGTTTTCTGAAAAAGAAGGCTCTTTAATGTTTTTAAAATGTTATACCTTACGTTTTATTTAACTTTGCTATAAAAGTATTTACCAAAACATGTGGATCATCATAATATTCTGATGGAAATATGCCATACTTAATCGCAGAAACTCCGACTTTATGTGCTAACTCTGGGCTGAGTCTCTGGCTCAAAGGCTGAAGTACATTGTCATAATATCCAGTGAAATCTTTTTTTGTAATAAATTAATTGGTATGAAAGTGTGCCTCCAAGCGTTAGATAGCACAATGATTTAATTTTTTTCTGGAAAACGAAAGAAATTGCTTCATAAAATTGTCTAAAAATAAATAATCAGATATGGTATTATACATACAACAATATTTTGTTTTTTACTCATTTCTAATATTTTTGAATAGGTATTTAATTACCCACAACGTATTTTAGCACAAATAAATAACAAACAGCTGTCAAATGCTGCCAATGTCAAATTGTCAATTTTTTCGTAGACAGATTTTTTATTTAACTAGCTTTACGGCTCTGGGTTCTAGCCTTTCTGAGCCTATCGTTTCTTTCGGAATCTTCCTTTTTATATATTTTTTCTTCACAATATGCTGATACGTCACATTACGATTTTTTTGCGAGATTTTGACATCAGCTCAACCCAGCAGACAGTTGATGACCACAGCCACTCAAGTTCATAAGGCGCCCAAGCGATCAAACTATCTTTTTATAGGTTTATATCAACATCAAAGCACTTGTTTCGTCGTTTTTCTAATAGTTCACACGCGCAGACATTAATTCACAAAATCATATCACTTTTACGAATCAAAATCCACTTCAAACCATTATACATAACATAAGTAGTCACCATGGCGCTATGGCGCTTTGGCGCTATTAAGTATTAATATCTAGCGGCAACTAGTTCTAGCAGCAGCGCTGTTGGGAGTGGACGTGTGACGCAAATTTGATCTAGTAGCACGCTATTCATCTCGCGCGATCTAATTTAGTGTTAGACGTTATTTTGTTAATGTATACTGTATATTTATAAGTGATCCAAGGGCACAGGTTTCTGCTTCAAAATAAGCCTAACTAATCTTTTCAAATGTTAATAAAATATACGTACAAAAGTGTTCGTAAGTAGTTGATTTTTGTATATACCATCTTAAATGTATAAACTTATAAATACACCTTTAATTGATTTATAATTTATATTAAGGTTAAAGTTACCTTTACATCGAATATAATAGAAAATAATTTATTTTATTTTATTTAAAAAGTACATGACTTAAAAATATTTTTAGAATTAAAGAAATTCATAAGCCTGAAAAGTATGAAAAAGCGTTCATTGATTTTTCTTTACCGCTTTATTTTATTTTAGTCTAAAATGCGATTCATTACGAAATAATGTTCTTATATATCACGCGGTCTATCCAATGAACGACATATTATAATTTACCATGCTACGAGATATAGCGTCCTGCAAAACTTATCGCGCTTGCCGGTCTTCTACACGCTTTCTTATAAACAGCGTGCTATAACATAGCGTATTTAATAGCGCGCTAGAAATTTGTAGTTTATAGTCAGTAGCGTGCTATTAATTTATACTTAGTCCTTTTGAACAACTTTACAGAACACTAGTACCCTTTGCCAAAGCCAGACTGCCACTAATCATATTTTTTTATTAACATGCTTTACGGCTCTGGGTTCTAGCCCTTCTGAGCCTGAAGTTACAATGTTTAATTATTATCTTTAAACATTACGAAACATTCATCAGAAATTCACTTTCACACTGATTCACAATAAGTGACAATAAGCTTATTCACCTTTAATCTATTGATTAATATCAAGTTTTCATTTTTATATATCTTGAACACCAGAAATAAAGGAATAAAATGGTCGGAAGAATTTTTCATCAGCTAATAGACTTTGAATGGTATCGGGAACTTTATCATTGTTAATAATGGAATTAATGAGGAGTAATCTATTCCAACCAAATTGACAACATTGAAAAACCAGATGCTTTAGGTCTCCATTCGTGTCACCACAATATTCACAATTTGCATTTTCTTTCATTCCCAAACGATGAAGTTAGGCGGCTACTCTGCTCTCTCTCTCTGTAATAAATTTTCTATTACGAGTAATGGAAAATTGAAAAAAGGGCAGTCTTGTGATAATATATGCGATGAAGGAATTATGCAAGGAACCAATGTATGATACCCAACAAAATATGCAAAGAACCAACTTATAGACCATTGGCACGCATGATTGGGGCTAAGTTCTGCAAGACCCACCAAAGAAAAACACCAACACTCTCCGATTATACTCTTAATCTAGGCTGTTAGACGGGAAATGAAGCTGCAGTCTTCAAATGTATGCGACGGGACTTACTCAACTTCTACTTCGAAAAAAATACAATTTAGCTATACCGTGCATGTGGTTTTTCTTATTCCCGATCATTTCAGTGTGCCCCTCGTATAAATCCCTTTTTTGTTGTACCAAGGAGTGGCTGGCGGGCTTTTTTGTATTTCATAATACCAAATTCCTTCGGACTTACTTATTTCTTCCCAGTATGACTTCCGCAAGGATTTCAAGTTCTTGCTTAACAAGGCATATATATCTGTAAATGGTATTTCCAGCATTGGGGAGTGATCTGAACATGATTATTTTTTTTTATAGAAGAGGGGGCAAACGAGCATGCGGCTCACCTGATGTTAAGTGACTACCACCGCCCATGATCAACCGCAACACCAGGGGAATTGCGGGTGCGTTGCCGGCCCTTTAGAAAGGAGTAGGCTCTTAGTTTTGAAGGCCCCTAGGTCGTATCGGTCCGGAAAAATCGCCGGTGGTAAACTATTCCACAGAGGTTGTACGCGGAAGAAAACTCCTTTTAAAACATACAGTGATGGACCGCCAAGCATCCAGATGGTGTGGATGGTATCTGGACGTTTGCCGCGTAGTGCGTTCACTAAATTTGGCGGCTGGGATTAATCCGAACAATTCCTCAGAGCACTCTCCATGGTATATGCGAAAGAAAATGCAAAGAGATGCAACATCTCTTCGCAGTGCCAGTGAATCGAGCCGATCGGAAAGCACTTGGTCGTCGACGATTCGAGCCGCTCTGCGCTGGATGCGGTCAAGTGGAAGGAGTTGGTACTGGAGAGCCCCAGCCCAGATGGGAACAGTATTCCATGTGTGGCCGAACCTGCGCCTTGTAAAGTTGCAAACGGTGTGCTGGCATGAAATACTGTCCCGCTCTGCTGAGCACGCCAAGCTTTTTAGAGGCCAATTTGGCCTTCTCTTCCAAGTGACCACGAAACTGCACGTCACTCGATATGTCGACGCAGAGGATTCCGATACTGGCTGTGGCAACAAGGGGAGTGCCTTGAAACTGAGGAGATACGACAAAGGAGTTCTTTTTAGCGGTTAACACTCAAACTTGTGTCTTCTGGGGGTTAAACTGGACTAGATTTAGTCGCCCCCAATCCGAGACTCTGTTCAGCAAAGACTCGACTTCAGACACAAGTTTGTCCCGGCACTCGGAGATGTTTTCCCGAGAAATATTGGCTCGGCCGGTGTAAAGAGCATCACCAGTGCTGTCATCTGCATAGCAATTAATGTTACGGGTTTCCAACATATAATTGATATGCAGAAGAAACAGCGTTGGCGATAACATGCAGCGTTGTGGAACACCAGCAATAATAGGCTTGCAATCGGAGCTTGCACCGTCTACAACGACCTTGATGCTCCGATCTGCAAGAAAGCTGGTGATCCAATCCCACAATTTCTCGGGAAGCCCATAGGAAGGGAGCTTCGAAAGAAGCGCTTTGTGCCAAACCCGATCGAGGGCCTTCGCAATGTCCAAACTAACGGCCAATGTCTCCCCCTTGGACTCTACTGCCTCCGCCCATCCATATGATGAGGTTATATCTCTAGTAGCGATGTCTGCTTCTTTCGTTCCCAGTTATCCCAGAGTGTGAAGGAACCCACACAAAGGTCTTCTTTACTTTATTAAGATTTTCAGTAAGTTTCTTATATTGTATACAATGTAATTTTTCTTGTAAACCATCAATTTACCAGATTTTGATCCATCTGTATAAATTGTTTAATAATCATTATCATCTAGATATCTTAACATTTTCATTTGAGAATTCACTTTTTCTTGACATACAGAAACATTAATGTTCACTAAGGCATCGTATTCTATTTTATATAAAGACCATGGTTTACTTTGATGCACATTTTGGGTTTGCATCTGTGAGTATAAAACAATCCTCAGGATGTCTGGTAATGGACCAGATAAAAGCATATTTACATCTGTGTATGAATCATTAAACTCGGGAACTTCATAAGGAAGTATTTTTTTAAAACTAAATTACTTTTAGAACTGATTAATTTAACACAAAACCGTTCAGCAATTTGTAGCCTTCTTAGTATAAGTGGAGGAATACAACTTTCTACTTCCATTACATGGATTGGTGTAGAGCACATAGCCTCAGTTATTATACGCAATGCTTTATTCTGTATTATTTATATCTAATCTTCGATTTTCGTTTCAAAGCTAACTTATTTGAATAAAAATCACGTATTTGTTCTTATGCCAAATTTAAATTGTTTACCGCTATATTTACATCTTTATTTACAGTATATACAAGGAGATAAATTTTATTCAAAATTACAAAACTTATTAAAGAATACCTGATTACAAAACTTACTAGGTCATTAATGCTTTTACTTGTTTGGGAAAAGCCTCTGTCCTGTGTAGAAAACAAGAAAGAAGTCCAAGCGGGTTATTTAAAAAAAAATGTTATTTAGAATATAATGTATTACAATTAAATATTTAACTTTATATTTACATTTAGAAACAACATTAATCACCCCATTCCCAGGGGCTTTTTTAAACAACTTCGCTTAGTTAAAAATGTTCAGTTTTTGATAGGCTGCATATTTTATGACTTGTTGTAAAAGCATATACTTTGCCCCATGAAGGAAAACTTATTCTTTGAAGTGGAATAACTGATATAACTAGCTTGTACTTGTTCCTAGTATTTACAGAATATACAACACTATTTTTAATAAAAAGTATTGTTGTTTTTTTCTAAATACATTAAATTTTCGTAAAATTACTAAAACACTATAGTTAATATATTTACTTCTTAAAAATTTTCTTAAAAAAACTCCTTCGGACTTAGGTTGT